TCGGCTGACAAAGGGACAGATTGCTTTTATACCAGTCAGGCCTCCCCTTGACTAGGCTTTAATGCCCCACACTGCCAGATGGGTTGCTAGCCAGTGAGAGAGGTTTGGAATAGGTCATGGAGAATCATCCACTTAGTGTTTCTACATTCCCTACGTGTATGGTTCTCAGACAGAGAAACCATGAATTTTTCCAAGGCTGCAGGAATACCAGTTGTGTTAAGCTTGTTGAAGAAATGTAGGTGTAGCTCCTTTGTCAGAGACTTTTTAATTTTTTAAAATTTTTTAATGTTTTTTTTCTGTTTTTAATAGTTTATTGTCTTGTTGGTTTCCATATAACATCCAGTGCTCATCCCCACAAGTGCCCTCCTCCATGCCTATCTCCCCCCTTCCCCTCCTCTCCACCCCCATCAGTCCTCAGTTTGTTCTCAACATTCAAGAGTCTCTCATGGTTTGCCTCCCTCCCTCTCCCCGCCTATTTCCCCCCTTCTTCTCCCCCCCAGTCCTCCGTTAAGTTCCTCCTAATCCTCCTATACATGCAAACATATGGTAACTGTCCTTCTCTGCCTGTCCTTTGTCAGAGATTTTCAAGGTGTGTGTGTGTGTGTGTTATGTTCATTCTAAGAACGGGTTGTAAAGTCAAATTACCAGAAGGACTAGGCAGATATCTGAAAGATATCCTTTTCTTTCCTATATTTAATTATGAAAAGTTTCTTTTTTTTTTTTAATGTTTTATTTATTTCTGAGAGAGAGAGAGACAGCATGAGCAGGGGAGGGTCAGAGAGAGAGGGAGACACAGAATCTGAAACAGGCTCCAGGCTCTAAACTAGCTGTCAGCACAGAGCCCAATGCGGGGCTCAAACCCACGAACCGCGAGATCCTGACCTGAGCCAAGTCCAATGCTCAACAGACTGAGCCACCCAGGCGCCCTGAAGAAAAGTTTCAAACCTATAGAAACAATATAAAGACTTTAACATTGACTCACATAGCTATCCCCTAGATTCAATAGTATTTTGCTACATGTGTGTTACCACTTCTCTATCCACATGTACACTCCTCTACCATCAGTTCAAGAGTATAACTCAAATATTACTTTAAATGCACAGTACAGGATAGTATTTTATATTCTTTCGGCCTTTCAACCCGTCTGTAGTCTGTTACAAACTATCTGCTGTCTTTTCCAGCTAGCACTTTTCATTCTTTATTTCCTCCCATTCCATTTGTCTTGTCTGCCGTGCCCACCTCTGTTCTTTCTCTTTGATCCTTCAAAATCTTGCCTGCCCTTTAAGACCAAGATCATACCTTCCTCTCATAAAACCTGCCCTCATCTTTCTATCCTGAGATTCCTCTGACCCAGTGATTTTAAGCCATGACTGTACTTTGGCTCCTGTATGTATGTATGTATGTATGTATGTATGTATGTATGTATGTATGTGTGTATGTTTATTTATCCTTCTGAGAGAGAGAGCAGGGGAGGAGTAGAGACAGGATCCCAAGCAGTCTCCCTAACAGCAGTACAGAGCCTGACGCGAGACTCGAACTCATGAACCTTCAAATCATGACCTGAGCCAAAACCAAGAGTCGAACACTTAACAGACTGAGCCACCCAGGCGCCCCTACTTCAGTACCCCTATGGCACTGGGTGACTCAGTTGGCTGAGTGTCCAACTCTTGATTTCGGCTCAGTTCATAATCCCAGTCTTGGGATCAGGCCCCGCATTGGGCTCCATGCTGAGCATGGAACCTGCTTAAGATTCTCTCTCTTGGGGCACCTGGGTGGCTCAGTCAGTTAAGCATCCAACTTTGGCTCAGGTCATGATCTTGCAGTTTGTGAGTTCAAGCCCCATGTTGGGCTCTGTGCTGACAGCTTGGAGCCTGGAGCCTGCTTCGGATTCTGTGTCTCCCCTTCTCTTTGCCCCTCCCATGCTCATGCTCTGTCTCTCTCTGTCTCTCAATAATAAATTAAAATGTTTAAAATTTTTTAAAAAAAGATTCTTTCCCTCTGCTACTCTTCCCTTACACTTGGAAGGGAGGGAGGGAGGGAGGAAGAAGGGAAAAAGAAGGGAAGGAAGGAAGAACTAGGGATGAGGGCTAAGAACCATAGCTCTTACTCATCCTGTCTGTGTTTTATGAATAATCATTAGTTTGGTGGAGAGCTGGTTCTGGGATTACCAAAGGAAGGGGGACCAAGTGGGGTCCTCTCTTAAAGCCATTCTACAACCAGTGTAGAACAGTTGCCCTGGCAGGGAACTGAAAATTTAGGGGAGGGTCCCCTGAGAGGGGAGAGATACAGTGTCATCCCTCAAGGAATGATGGTGTTTTGAGAAAGGATGCAAAGTCAATTCACCAAAGGGACCAGGCAGGTAGCTAAATGAAACAGATAAGGTAGGAGTTACAGCAATCTGCCAACAACACGCCTAGGCTAATGGATCCCCAGTGTGAGTCACCTTCAGCTAACTGTGGCTCTGAAGCAATGCGAAGCCCACAGGAGTCAGATTTATGGATTTTTTTTTTAACAGGACTCATAAGTTGATATTTCATGTGAAATCATCCATTATATAAGTCATCCTTTATATATGTAAATAAAGCTTTTAATGCTTTGTATACCTCAAACTAACCCTATCTGTAGACTGCAGGTTTTACCCTCTTTTAAGTGTTTATTTATTTTAGAGAGAGAGAGCATGCACGCAAGTTCTAATGGGGGAGGGGCAGAGAGAGAGGGAGACAAAGGATCCAAAGCTGGCTTGAACTGACAGCAGAGAGCCTGATGGGAGACTCATGCCCTGAGCTGAAGTTGGGACGCTTAACCCCTGAGCCACCCAGGCACCCCTTGCCCTTTTTTAAAAGACAGAAAAACTGATGGGGTAGGAAGATTCCCAGAACTGGATCCCTAGGCTCCTTGGGGCTTGGTTTCTGCACACCTCCAAGCCAAGACACCTCACCAAAGCCTCATGCCAAGGGCCATTATATATTCCCACCTTCCAAAGTACAGTGTTCTAGGTAGCAGAAGGTCATTTGAAACTTTGTTCAGGGAATAATGATAATAAATGCACATTCAGTCATCTAAAAATATTTGACTGCTTTTGCAGGCTCTGTTCTGGGCACCAGGGCAATAGCAGTGAATAATGCCTCTGGAACTTAGAGTCTGGCACAGAGTCAGAAAATAAAAATGAGTAACATGTGCATTATCTAGAGTGAAGGGGATACATTAAAGCACGAGAGGGGAATAAGAACCTGAGTGAGAAGAAAGAATTTTCATACAAAGGCCAGGGAATTCCTCCCTGAGCAATCAGTGTGTACAGCAGACATTTGTCTTGAATCCTTACATTTACCAACTTCTCTGATCCTCAGCACAATCCTGTAGGATACGCACTGTTTTTCTTGGTTCACAGAAGAAACAGAAGTGCTGAGAAGTTAACTAATTAGTAAGGATACTCTAGTTGGGGACAATGTGATCTGAGTCCATACCCTTCCCAACCACCCACTTGCACTCTTCAGCCAGAATCAGAGCAGTGGCGGTGTGAGGGAGGGGGAGGAATGGATCCTGCTACAAATACCCACCAATACCCCCATTGGTTGGTATTCAACACCCTCCGCCACCCCTGCCGTTGAGACTCAGCTGCTTCAAGCAGGTAGAGCATAAATGCTTATATCAGGTAGTCTCTGATCTTCTTCAAACTCCGTAAGGTGATTATTTTTTATCGTTTCACTTTGTGTGTGTGATGTCTTCCTCTTCTCCCCGCCTAGATTTAAAGCTCCCAATGTGAAGGGACTTATGTTTTGCTTTTATCTGCCATAGCATGTAGCCTAAGCTGTTGACAGTAATAGGTGCACAAACGGTGCTAGCTGGATAGAGATTGGAGAATAACGGTCTTTTATTTATTTATTTTGAGAGAGAGAGAGCGAGCACATAAGCAGGGGAGGAACAGAGAGGGAGGGAGAGAGAGAGAATCCCAAGCAGGCTCCACACTGTTAGCGCAGAGCTCAGTGCAGGGCTTGAACTCACAAACCGTGAGATGCTTAACCGACTGAACCACCCAGGTGTTCCCTAGAACACCTTGGCACTTAGTCCCCTTGGCACTAAGATCATATAGGGGAAGGAAAAAAAATCATTTTTCCTCTACCTATTTTAAGTTCATTGCCTGGGGCCCTGTAAATCAGACTGACAAAAAGACAGATTAACAAGAGAAAAACAGAAGTGTATTAACACATACATCATATGTACACATAGGAGTACTCAGTGGTGAGTAACTCAAAGGTGTGGTTAGAACTTGGGCTCATATAGCATCTTAAGAAAAGAACAATAACTTTTTAGAGATGTGACAAGACAGAGGAAAAGGATTTTGAGTTTTCAAGGTGGCACCTTACCTCCCAAGGAGGTAAATACAGGGGGAACTGATGGAAGGTAAGGCCTAGTTAGTAAGGTTGTATAAGTTCCTCTGGTGCCATCTCCTGGCTGATAAGTTGCTTCCAGTGATTAATTTCTATTCTTCCTGGTAGAGAGGGGAGGATACCCTCACAGATTTATGTTCCGCTTTTAGACAGATAGGAGGAGTGCAGAGAGCTTTTCTTGTATCTGCTTCTGCTCAGTTTCCTGCAGCTCAAAATAATACTTATGTCAGGGGCGCCTGGGTGGCTCAGTTGATTAAAGTGTCCAACTTTAGCTCAAGTCATGATCTCACAGTTTGTGGATTCGAGCCCTGCGTTGGTCTCTGTGCTGACAGCTCAGAGCCAGGAGCCTGCTTCGGATTCTGTCTCCTTCTCTCTCTGTCCCTCTACTATTCGCTCATGCACGCTCTCTCTCTCAAGAATAAATATTAATAAATAAAAATAATAATACTTCTGTGAAAATGGCATAAGTTGTAGTGGCATATTCTGTTACCCTTCATTTACAAAGTAGGGTTTAGAAATCTCTACCTCCCACAGGGAAGCCTTTTCACTCCTCATCCTAAGCTGTGAGCAAGGAGAACTCCCAGATGAGCTACAGTGTGTTTTGTGTTAAAGGCATTCGTGGCATTCAGGGATGTGGCTGTGGACTTCACCCGGGAGGAATGGAGTTTGCTGAGCCCTGCCCAGAGGACCCTGCACAGGGAAGTGATGCTGGAGACTTATAACCACCTGGTGTCACTAGGTAAGGATGGCTTCCCTTAGCACTTAAAGTCTGTTCCACAGAGTATTTTCTATACACCGTGAGGAAAGGCTGCCATGAAGCAGCTTCGTCCTAGGGTTGAGCTTAAAAACAATAATTTACATTTTCCCTCAGGGTAAGTCTGGATTTAATAAAATTGGAAACAGGTAGATTTACTCATGTTGCATATAACACTGTATTTCCAGGCCTTTCTCAAGCCTGGGGCTCTCTTTTGACTTTATCTTGTTTGAAACCTAAGAGATTTCATTCACTGAGTATTAATATGTTAATTTTCTGATTGGAGTCACCTTTACTTACTGAACTCTTCTTCTGTAGAGGGTTCACTGTTTTTTTTTTAATGTTTTTTTAAATGTTTGTTTATTTTTGAGAGAGATAGTGGGGGAGGGGCAGAGAGAGAAGGGGAGAGACAGAATCTCAAGCAGGCTGTCAGCTCAAAGCCCAATGTGGGGCTTGAACTCACAAACCTTGAGATCATGAGCCGAGCCAAAGTTTGGCACTCAACCAGTTGAGCCACCCAGGCACCTTGAGAGTTTTTTACTATTTTAGGTCCTTCATACCGTCCTTTGGGTTTCCCTACCAATTTTGGCTCTGAGTTCTGGAATGGCCCCTTGAGCCCATAACCAAGAATCTCCTTGTTTTTTTCCCCCTATGAACAGAAATTCCATTTTCCAAACCAAAACTTATTTCTCAGCTGGAACAAGGAGAAGAGCCCTGGACTGAGGAGAAACAATATCCGCTGGGCCTCTGTGGAGGTGAGTATGACACAGGGAAGATGGGACCATCCGCAGCTTGACAGGGAAGGAGGAAGCATCTCTCAGGTACAGGAAAGAAGCTCTTCTCAGGTCTCCTGGGTCATTGGTAAGTCTGCCTGGCATGAGCTCCCTTCCAGAACATTATTTTCAGTTGAAGGTAGGACTTTCTTGGCTTCCTTGTCTCTTTTCTCTACCAGGAAGCCTCCCTTCCTCTTACTTGGCTTGCCTTCTTCGTCATGTTCAGTCTTTCCTCATTCATGGGCTTCTTTGTCTCTTGATCTTAAAAACTGTGGGGCGCCTGGGTGGCTTAGTTGGTTAAGCGTCCGACTTTCGCTTAGGTCATGATCTTGCGGTTCGTGGGTTCGAGCCCCGCGTTGGGCTCTGTGCTGACTGCCAGCTCAGAGCCTGGAGCCTGTTTCAGAGTCTGTATCTCCCTCTCTCTCTGACCCTCCCCTGCTCACGCTGTCTCTCTCTCTCTCCTAGAAATAAAAAACAAAACAAAAAAAAAAACTGCACCTACCCCGTGGACATGAAGTCTGCTACCCTTCAGATATTTTCCAGTTTCTTTTAGGCGAAACGTAATTGATTATCTCTACCTTTCCAATTCCCATAGTTAAAAAAATGCATTTCTCAGTATTGAAGATTACAGCAAGCTATGAATAATAAAAAAATAAGTTCTCATGAGCCAGCATCCCAGCTTAAAAAATAAAACATTACCTAAACAATTGAAGTTCCTATTTCCCTTCCCCAGATTCTACCTTATACCCTCCCACACTCCTGCCCAAAGGTAGTGTTTTTTCAAAGTTTGGGATTTATAATTCTCATACATGGCTTTTTATTTTGCTTCATATATATGAATCCCTCAACCACCTATAGTTGTTTGGCATATTTTTAAACTTTACATTAATGTCATCATAATATGTATATCCTGTAGTTTGCTCTCTTCACTGACACTGGGCTTATAAGATTCATGCATGTTGGTATATGTTGTTCTGGTTCATTTGTTTTTACTACTATATCATGTTTATTATATTCTGTGCATAATTAAAATATAATTCGCTTATCCATTTATTTTTTTGGTTTTGCCAATTTTGGCTATTAAAGAATGCAGCTATAAATACTCTCATGCAGGTGTCCTTGGGCATAGTAGCACTTGTTTCTCTAAGATACGTGCCCAGGAGTAGAGTAGCTGAGTCACAGAGTGTGCACTCCTTCATCTGGCCTAGGCAATGCCAACTGGCTCTCAACAATTGTTTCATTAGTCTGTGAGGTTGCTTTTAGTTTTTGACCATCCTTTGGGTATAAAATGGCTTCTCGCACTAGTTTTAATATGATTACCATGGAGTTTGAGCATCTTTTCAAATGTTCATAGGTTGATTAGCATTGATGTTTCCTTTTCTGTGAATTGCCTGTTCAAATCTTTTGCCTGCTTTTCTTTTTCTTGCCCATTTGTAGAAGTATTTAAATAAATCCTGAAAGTGAATCCTTTGTCTGTTAAATGTATTATGTCCGTCTTCTTCCAGTCTATGGGCTGCCTACTGCTTTTTCAAAAGCTGTTAGGAGCACCTGGGTGGCTCAGTCACTTGAGCATCCGACTTCAGCTCAGGTCATGATCTCACAGTCTGTGAGTTCCAGCCCTGCATCAGGTTCTGTGCCTCCAGCTCAGAGCCTGGAGCCTGCTTTGCTTCTCTGTCTCCCCCTCTCTCTCTGCCCCTCTCCCGCTTATACTCTGTTGTCTGTCAAAAATAAATAAACATTGGGGCGCCTGGGTGGCTCAGTGGTTAAGTGTCTGACTTCGGCTCAGGTCATGATCTCATGGTCCGTGGTTTTAAGCCTCCACCCCCGTCGGGCTCTGTGCTGACAGCTCAGAGCCTGGAGCCTGTTTCTGATTCTGTCTCCCTCTCTCTGCTCCTCCCCTGCTTGTGCTCTGTCTCTCAAAAATCAGTAAACATTTTTGAAAAATAAACATTAAAAAATTAAAAGGGCGCCTGGGTGGCTCAGTCGGTTGGGTGTCCGACTTCGGCTCAGGTCATGATCTCGCGGTTCGAGAGTTCAAGCCCCCCGTCAGGCTCTGCTGACAGCTAGCTCAGAGCCCGGAGCCTGTTTCAGATTCTGTGTCTCCCTTTCTCTCTGACTCTCCCCTGTTGATGCTGCCTCTCTCTCTCTCTCAGAAATAAATAAAACGTTAAAAAAATTTTTTTTAATTAAAAAAATTAAAAGCTGTTAAATTTTGAAATAATTTAAGTAAGTTTTAATATGTACAAATAGTATAGAAAGTTCCCATCCATTCTCTCAACTTTCTCTAATTTCACAACCCAAGAAGTTGACATTGGTACAGTACTGTTAAATAAACTACAGACTTTAATCAGATTCATATTTTGTCAGTTTTTACAGGAACTTTTTTTTTAAGTTTATTTATTTATTTTTAGAGGGTGTGTGCAGGGGAGGGGCAGAGAGAGACGGGGAGACAGAGAATCACAAGCAGGCTCTGTACTTTCACTGTCAGCCTAGAGCCTGACGTGAGGTCGTGACCTGAGCCAAAATCAAGACTCAGATGTTTAACTAACTCAGCCACCCAGGCACCTCTAATTTCCTACAGCTTTATAGTAAGTCTTAGTGTCTGGTAGGTTAAGTCGTTCCGTCTTATTCTTCACGTGTCTTTGTAGCTTTACCCATTGAGCTTTTACAATCAACTTGTCAGATTTCATAAAGTATTCTGTCAGGATTTTGTCATAGTTGCACTGAATTTATATATTTGTTAATATACGTGTATTAATATATGAATTGGAAAGAATTGACATCTTTACAATATTAAATCTTTCTCTTAGTGTGTTGTATTTCTTCACTTATTTACTAATACATCTTTATTACTACCTTTTGCTAGGTTTTATAACCTGTAAATTTACCTTTCTAAATTTATACATAGGCTTTTTTTTTTTCTAATTTTTTTAATGTTTTATTTATTTCTGAGAGAGAGAGCGAGCAGGGGAGGGTCAGAGAGAGAGGGAGACACAGAATCTGAATCAGGCTCCAGGCTCTGAACTGTCAACACAGAGCCTGACATGGGGCTCAAACCCACGAACCTCGAGATCATGACCTGAGCCACCCAGGCACCCCTAGGCTTATTTTATTTGAGAATTATATTTTTACAAACTAAATTTTTATAATTTTTTTTGTTAAAATGTGTGACTAAAATTCATTTCATCATAATGATCACATACCCAGTGGCCTTGTGAGTAGTTTAATTAAATTCAATAATTTTTCCTATGTATATACAGTCTTTGGAGTTTCATATGTATACAACTATTTTACCTGTTTATTTTGCCTTTTTTTCTTTGGCATTGTTGATCATGTCTATTACATGTTTTATGTCTGAACTTCTAGTAAATATTTCCTTTCTCTTCTTACTTTGGGCTTATTTTACTATTCTTTTTCTAAGTTTTTGAGATGGATGCTTAACATTATTACGTTTCAGCCTTCCCTCTTTAGTAATACTGGGATTCAAGACTATAGATGTCCTTGTATTCCTAACACATATTTGCAGCTTCTGTTCCACCTCTGAATCCTGACGTCTGGCACCTTGAGCCCATAAGGCTTTGGTATTTCATCATTGTTTCTCCACTGCTGTGGTGGTGTGTGTTGGGAGTGCTCTTTAGCAAGAAACTCACAAACGAAATTCTTACCCTTCCCTTTCCATGCTCTTTTAGTGTAAACTCTTTCCTCCCACCAGCTTCTGGTCACTTTTGAGTGTTTTCCAGTGACTTTAAGTAACTATTTATTGTATTTTATCCAGTTTTATCATTGTTTTCTCTAGGGGATTCTTGTGACCAATTCAGTCTGCTGTCATTTTCAGAAGTAGGCTTCATTTTATATGTTTTAGACTTGACATTTGGAAGTTACTTCAAAATTACAGAAACTTTGCAAAAATAAAAATACTACAGGGGCACCTGGGTGGCTCAGTTGATTAAGCATCCAACTCTTGATTTCAGATCCGGTCATGATGTCACGATTCGTGAGACTGAGCCCCACATTGGGCTCGAGGACAGTGCAGAGCCTGCTTGGGATTCTTTGTCTCTTTCTCTCTCTGCTGCTCTTTCTCTCTCTCAAAATTAAATAAAAATTTGAAAAATAAAATTAAATTAATACAAAGAACACCCTATATCCTCTACATACACACATGTGTAAATACATATGGCATATATGTTATTAAGAAATAGCATCATAAAATCACCTGTTAATATTTTACATTTGCTGTTATCTAATATCTACTTCTCATATTATAACTTTGCCAGTAGATGCAGTAATATCTTTTTTACTCTCCAGAACATGATCCAGTCCAGGTTTAGGTAGTGCATCTACATGTCATGTGTATTTAATTTCCCTTAATATAGGTTGTTTCAGTAACCTTCCTTGTCTTTTGGACACTGACATTTTAGAAATATACAGTCTTACAGTTCCTGGTTTTTTAAAAACTTCATTGAGATATTACCATAAAATGTACTTCTTGTAAATGTAAAGTTGCATTATTTTTGGTAAATGTTTATTGTTGTATGATTATTACTTCCATTTAACTGTAGAATGTTCCATCATTGCAAAGAGTTCCCTTCTGCCCATTTATGTCTATCCCTCCTCCTGTCTGAGCTCAAGGGAGCCATTGATATGCTGTCTATAGATTTGCTATTTCTGGACATTTTCTATACATGATATCATAAAATATATAATTTTTTGTATGTGGCATAATGTTTTTGAGGTTCATCTGGGTTGTGGCATGTATCAGTAATCCATTCCTTTTTATTGCCATATAACATTCCATTGTGCAGCAGTTTTGTTTACCCATTCACAGATTGATGGATATGTGGGTTGTGTCTACTTTTGGCTATTGTGAATAGTGCTGCTAAGAACAATCAAGTACCAGTGTCAATGTGGGCATACATTTTCATTTTGGGATAGGTAAGTAGGTGTAAACTCCCTGGATTGTATATGTTCATATTTAACTTTTTTAAGAAGCTGCAAGTTGTTTTCCAAAGTACATTTCTGTTAGCATTTCTATTTTACATTTCCATTTTCTATTTTTACATTTTTCTGTTAGCAGAATGTTGAGTTTCACTTTCTCTGCATTCTTGTCAGCACTTGGAATTGTCTCTAGTCGTGATTATAGACATTCTACTGGGTGTGTAGTGGTATTTCACTGTGGTTCTAATTTGCATTTCCCTAGTGACTGATGATGTTGAATTTTTCTTGTGCTTAGTAACCATTTACATTATCTTTGTTAGTGAAATAGCTATCATTTCTTTTGCCCAGTTTTAAATTGGGTTTTGTCTTCTTTTTCAGTTGTGATAGTTTTTCATATTTTCTAGACACAGTTCTATATTGGATCTATGGTGTTCACATACTTTGAACTCTATAAAATCAAATTTCAGAAGACAAGCCTGTGGTTTGACTTTTCACTCTCTTAATGGTGTCTTTTCAAGCGTAAGTTTTTACACTTTAGTTATGTCCCATTTAACAAATTTTTAAATGGATTGTGCTTTTGGTGGCGTAACTGGAAACTTTTTTGCCTTTTGGCGTGTTCAGTTTGTTCATATTTAATCCAATGATTGATATGGTTTAAGTCTGCCCTTTAGCTATTTTTTTTATATGTTTCATGGTTTTTTATTCCTTTCTATTCCTTTTGGCACATATATGTACTTTTCGTAGTTATTTTCTTAGTGTAGCTCTACAAATTAAAATATGCATCTACTTTATCACAATCTAGTTAATACTTAGTTCCAGTAAAATAGATACATTATAAAGCCCACAATAAGGTGTTACAGTTCTTGCTTTTTATGATAATCTTACGCATTTTGGAGAATTTAAGAGAATAAAACAAGAAAAATATACAGACATAGTCTTATATTCATTTACATATTTACCACTTTTGGTGGTCCTCGTTTGTTCCTGTGGATTTGAGTTAGTGTGTCACTTCTTTTCAGCCCAAAGGACTTCTTTAGTATTTTTTGTAAGGCACGTTTGCTAGCAATAGATACTTTCTGAGTACTTGTTAATCTGTGAATACCTTTATATCAATTTCTTTTTTTTTCTTTCTTTAAAATTTTTACTTTATTTTTTTTAATGTTTTATTTATTTCTAGGAGAGAGAGAGAGACAGTGTGAGCAGGGGAGGGTCAGAGAGAGAGGGAGTCACAGACCGAAACAAGCTCCAGGCTCTGAGCTGGCAGCACAGAGCCCGACGCAGGGCTTGAACCCACGAACCGTGAGATCATGACCTAAGCGAAAGTCGGACGCTTAACCGACTAAGCCACCCAGGCGCCCCATATTTTTACTTTATTTTTAAGAGAGAGCACACACGAGTTGGGGTGGGGGTGTGCAGAGAGAGAGGGAGACACAGAATCTAAAGCAGGCTCCAGGCTCCGAGCTGTTAGCACAGAGCCCAGTGCAGGACTCAAAGTCATGAACTGTGAGATTATGACCTGAGCTGAAGTCGGACACTGAACCGACTGAGCCACCCAGGCGCTCCTGTCAGTTTCATTTTTGAAGGATAGTTTTGTGAGAGTAGAATTCTTGGCTAGCCTTTTTTTTTTTTTTTAAGTGTATTTATTTATTTCGAGAGAGTATGTGCACATACATACATGTGCAGGGGCAGAGAGAGAGGAAAAGAGAATCCCAAGCAGGCCCTGCACTGTTAGCTCAGAGCCCATTGCAGGCTTGATATATCTCTCTGGGGTTCTCTTTATGTTTTTCTTGGGCTTTGTTGAGCTTTTTGGATTTGCAGATTAATGTTTTTCATCAAATTTCAGACTTTTTAGTTACTCTTTCTTTGGACATTTTTTTCCTGCCCTTTTCTCTCTGTTTTCTCCTTCATATGTCCCCATTATGCATAGATTGGTTTGTTTGATGGTGTCCCACAGGTTTCTGGGGCTCTTTGCTTTTTTTTGATCTTTCTTTCACCTGTTCTTCTTATGGATTTATCTTTAACGTCATTGGTTCTGTTACCAACTCAAATATGCTGTTGGATCTCTCTAGTAATTTTATAATTTCAGTTATTTGACTTTTTAATATCAGAATTTCCTTTTATTCCTTTTTAATAGTTTTTATTCTTGGTTGAGATTTTCTATTTCTTAATTTGCCATACTTTCCTTTAAGTTTTTACACATTATTTCCTTTAGTTCTAAACATATTCATAATACCGGCTTTGAAGGCTATTATTTTCCTCGTACATCAACATCCAGGCCACCCAGCAACAGTTTCAATTGGCTGCGTTGATTCCTCTGCATGGGTCACACTGTTCTGTTTCTTTGAAAACTGGATATTTTAGATACTATATTGTAGCCCTTCTGGTATCTCAAGATGTTTCCTGCCTAGATGTTGTTGCTGTTTGTGGTTTAGAAACATTTCTAACCTTAATACAGGGAATATGCTTTCTCTGTGAAGATGATGTTTCTGGGTGATTTATTATTTTATTCTTGTATTTATTTTTAATCCTGGCTTCCTGCTTTCAACCTTGTGTCTGCAGAGCTTGGTGAACTGCAACAATTAGCAATAGGTTGTATTCCAAGACTTTGAGCCAGTAAGGCTTCCTGCCTCTGCCAATGAATGTGCGTGTGGGTTGGGGAGTTCAAAGTTCAGATAGCTTTCAAGCCTTTTCTGGCCTTTTACTTTCCACTGGTCCTTCTCATTTTTTCCTCTGTACTTGGTTGTAGCCTCTCTGTCAGGCAGGGTTATGTGCATAGCATGGGCCCCCATCAATCTTCCCTGCTTTTGCAAACAGCCTTTCAGTCAGCCAGGATTGTGTGAAGAGCTTATCAAGCCTCTCCCTGGCTCTCTCACTTTCAGGTTTCCCTTGCTACATTTCTGGATGGTCTACCAGTCTTCTTTGTTGTTGTTCCCAACCAAGACTGAACCTCAGATAGCAGTCACCAGTGGCCTTCCGTGTTCATTTACCACCTAGATCATATTTATGGACAGTTCCACTGGGCGTTGGTTTCTCACCTTCCATTCAAATCAAGTGACTGCCCCTCTGGTGGCCGCAGCACTGATCATTCTATGGCCTGTCCTAGTATAACAAACACACCTACTGAGCTGGCGGGTTGGAAGAGTGAGAGCAGCTCCAGGCAATAATGCTACAGATTCCCACTTTTCTTATCTGGAGTTCAGGATTTTTCTTGAATAAACAATTCTCAAGTTATTGTAGGTTTTTTTTATTGATTTCTGGAACTAAACTTTGTAGTCTGTCAGGTGTTGTGAAAATAAATTTTTGGTATGGGTTTTCCACATTGCCATAGGACAAGGGTCAAAAAATGATTTCTGTTAAGGGGCTACAGTAGTAAATATTTTAAGCTTTCCAAGTCACATGCCCTATTGGTTGGTTGGTTGGCTTGCTTTTCTTTCTTTCCTTTCCCCTTTCCAGCCCCCGCTTCCCTCTCTTTCTCTTCCCCCTCCTCTTCTCTTCTTTCTTTCTTCCTTCCTTTTGTCCTTCCTTCCTTCCTTCCTCCTTCCCTCCCTCTTTCTCTCTCTTTTCTTTCCTTCCTTCCTTTCCTTGGAAAGGTAAAATCCATTTTTAGCTGGTGGGTCATACAAAAACAGGTTGCAGGCTGAATTTGGCCTACTAGACAAGTTTGCTAACTCCTGTGATTAAAAATGTAACGTTTGAAGTAAAATGAAAAATAGCCATTTTTAATGGATGCAAGGATGTCTAAGTGGGAGACAGGCTGTGATATAAACATATTACGAATGACCAATGGGCAAAGCAAAACGGCCCAGGCATCCCTACTTATGGCAATTCTGACTAAACATATTCTTTCTTCACCAGGATCAAAGCTAGAAATTCAACCTTGTCCCCCATGCCCGCTGGCACTCTCTAGTCAGCAAGGCCTCAGCCAACATGTGTGGTTCAGTCATCTTCCTCAGCTCTTCTCAAGTGTCTGTGCAGGAAATCATCTCCATCCAGGGAAACACTATCCAGAAGATCAGAAACAGCAGCAGAAACAACTCTTTGATCAAGCCTGCTTCAGTGACAGAGCAGAAATTCAAGAGACAGAAGACTCAGGTCACTTGTTCAGGAGAGTAAGCAGAAGCAGCCCTTGGGAGGTGTTGTCCAGCCCACTGCAAGAACAGCCAGTCAGGTCCAGGGAAGACAACATGGTGCTGAATGTAGGGCCCAGCCTAGACCAGAGGACAGACCTTGAGGAATCAGACAAAGGATCGCATGGTGTAGAAGTCTCAAGATTTGGGGCAGTCAGATATGGGGAGTTTGGGCTGAGGGAGTCAAACCTGCTTAGCCTCCAGAAGACGCACAAAGGGGAGACACCTTACATGTACACTGAGTGGGGACCGAGCTTTAGCAACATGTCAACCATCATCAAAAACCAGAGGACACACTGTGGGGAAAAACCTTATGTGTGCAAGGAGTGTGGACGAGGCTTCACCTGGAAGTCAAACCTCATCACACACCAGAGGACACACTCAGGGGAGAAGCCTTTTGTGTGCAAAGAGTGTGGACGAGGCTTCACCTGGAAGTCAAACCTCATCACACACCAGAGGACACACTCAGGGGAGAAGCCTTATGTGTGTGAGGAGTGTGGGCGAGGCTTTACTTGGAAGTCAAACCTCTTTACACATCAAAGGACACATTCAGGTGTCAAGCCTTATATGTGCAAGGAATGTGGACAGAGTTTTAGCCTGAAGTCAAACCTTATCACACACCAGAGGGCACACTCTGGGGAGAAGCCTTATGTTTGCAGGGAATGTGGGCGTGGCTTCCGCCAGCATTCACATCTCATCAGACATAAGAGGACACATTCAGGAGAGAAGCCTTATGTGTGTAGAGAGTGTGAGCAATGCTTTACCCAGAAGTCACACCTCATTAGACACTTACGGACACACACAGGAGAGAAGCCTTACGCATGCACAGAATGTGGGCGCCGTTTCAGCTGGAAATCAAACCTCAAGACACACCAGAGGACGCACTCTGGTGTTAAACCTTATATGTGCCTGGAGTGTGGGCAGTGCTTCAGCCTGAAGTCAAACCTCAACAAACACCAGAGGTCACACACGGGGGAGAAGCCGTTTGTGTGCAGAGAATGTGGGCGAGGCTTTACCCGGAAGTCAACCCTTATCACACACCAAAGGACACACTCAGGGGAAAAGCCATTTGTATGCAGGGAGTGCGGACGGGGCTTCAATGATAAGTCAACCCTCATGTCACACCAGAGAACACATTCAGGGGAAAAGCCTTTCATGTGCAGGGAGTGTGGTAGAAGGTTTAGCCAGAAGCCAAACCTGTTTAGGCACAGGAGGGCACACTCGAGTCGTATGCCCTTTGTGTGCAAGGAGTGTGGGCAGGGCTTTTGTGATAAGTTGACTCTCACCACACACCAGAAGGCACACTCCAGGGGGAAGCCTCATGTGTGCAGGGAGTGTGGGCAAGGCTTTAGCCGGCAGTCACACCTCATTAGACATCAGAGGATACATTCAGGAGAGAAGCCTTACATTTGTAGGAAGTGTGGGCGAAGCTTTAGTCGAAAATCAAACCTCATCAGACATCAGAGGACACACTCAGGATAGAAACCTAGTGTGTACAGTGAGTGTAGTGAAATCTTTAGTCAAGAGTCCTACTTCACAAGATGCCAGAAGTCACACCTAGGGCTGTGGTTTTAGTAAGAAGTCAGCACTGCCAGACACCAAAGTGGAGACAGCTACTTATGTGTGACAGGAGTGGTCACAAGCCCAATGGGAAGAGTCAACATCTCCATTCTGCCTGAAGGAGAACTACTGGCTCATTTTCAGGAGCTCTGGCTTCCTCTAGTGGGGATGCTGGCTTATGGAAGATCAATCAGGTTACTTGATGGAGGTAGCACTTAGAAGTAGATTGAAATTAAGGAATGGAGACTATTCTAATGTCATTTCCCAAGAATATTTAAATACTCCTTAGACAGTAGCCTGGATTTTAGAGAAACAGCAATACTAGAGCTTGCCTCTTAAAGTCTGTCCAACATTCTGAGAATAAGGGACTTGACAGAGACCATGGCTGATTTAATCTTGCTTTCCCAGAGCAGGACCCAGCAGCATTCAGCTTCAGGGAGAATTTGGGAAATGAGAATTTGTGGAGACAGAGGTAGTGCATGGGTAGAAGGTTTTATTATGCAGAAGGGCTGATAAGTGAGAAAGATTGTGACCCTCCTAGCTCTAGGTTTTGGGAGGAGGTGTCCATATTTGCTTTTGCTTGCTTCCAGGGACTCTCTGGTTTCCAGGTCGAATCCACACTGAAGATACTCAGATACTAAGACTAGAAATGTATTATATGCTTTTATGAAGAAAACTGGTAGTAATTTTTTGAATTTGACTTTCACACCAAAAGTTAGAATATTGAAAAACAACTATCTGTTGAACTTGACAGCTTTCCAATACTTAAGTCTTTTGTGACGAGATTGCTGATGGGTATTAATGAATGTGATTTTGTAATACCGTATAATGAACATTTGGAAGATCTGCCTAACTCATTGAACTGGTATTTTCCAAATGATTAGTGTGTGATTCTACAAAATCATCCATGGTGATATTAAAGTATAAGATAGACAAATGGATTTCAGTTTAAAAGATAAAGGCTAGGGGTGCCTGGCTGACTAAGTCAGTAGAGTATATGGCTCTTGATCTTGGAGTCGTGAGTTCAAGCCCCACTCTTGGGGATAGAGTTTACTTTAAAAAAGAAAAGAAAAACCAAAAACATAAAAATTAAAATTAATACCAATCTTAGGGAAAAAAAAAAGAGATAAAGGCCAGATTCCATATTACATATTCCATATTACAGTAACCTTTAAAAACCTTTAAAAAGTTATCACTTGTTGATTTTTGGCATAGTGTCAAAGAATAATGAAAAGTCATTATTGAAAAGTCATTAAAATACATCTCCCATTTTTTAACTCTGTACATGTGAGGTCAGATTATTTATCTAAGCAAATTAAATGCAAGAGCACATATAAAACGCCAGCTATATTAAGAGCAAAGAGATTTTCAAATATACTAGATAATGAATGCTACTCTTCTCACTGATCTATTTATTTTTTTATTTTTTTGGTGGAAAATATTCAAGCCCAAGTGAAAGTGAAGTACTTTGCTTTTCATTTTAAGTGTATTTCTAGGTGTTTAAGGTCTTAAGGTACCTGACTGGCTTAGTCGGTGGAGCATGTTACTCTTGATCTCAGGGTTGTGAGTTCGAACCCCACACTGGGAGTAGAGATTACTTAAAAATAAAAAGTCTTAAAAAAAAAAAGTTTGGGATTGCCTGGCTGGCTCAGTTGGTGGAGAATGCAACTTTTGATCTCACAGTCGTGAGTTCAAGCCCCGTGTTGGGTGTGGAGCTTAACAACAAAACATTTAGATGTTTATGGTCAATATCTCACAGCAAAAAACACTTCACACAAGCTTAAACACCAGAAAAAAAAAAGTTTCACATTATGATACCTAACATACTCTTAATATCTATACCTAGTATAATTTAAACAAGTCACGGGGCTCCTGACTGGCTCAGTTGATGGAGCATGAGACTTCATCTCTGTGTCACAATTTTGGCTCCATGGTGGGTGTAGAGATTACTTAAAAAAAATGAACGTAAAAAAAATTAAACTAGGCATAGAAGAAAATTACCAAATAACACAATGCAAAGGAAATGCTTGTTAACACCCACTGGCAGATCTAAACCTACAATTGAAGTATGCTGCTCTATCTAGACAAAACACAAATCTTGGGGAATATTCAGTGCTAGAACTAAATTATATAATTACTTAATCTCCTCTGTGCCTGTCACTATGTTTCTTCCTGAATATTCTTGCCAATTATTTTTCTATTTTTTATTTTAAAAATCTTTTTTCTTTTCAATGTGTCTTTATATTTTGTTAATTTTTGTTAATATTTCCTAATCTCTTGAAGCTAATTTTTATTTATTGCTTTTTGAGGCTTATTTGACATACTTTAGTGAGGTTTTTACCTTTTTCCTTTTTATTTTTCTTCTGAAAGTCAAATTATAATTTTTATCTTTATTTTCTTTTAGCCAAGAATTACTATTTCTACAAATGGCTAGATGGATATATACTTTTTTACAATCTCCTAGTATTTAGTTTTTTATTTTGTAGCATTATAGTCAATATATTTAGTAATTTCTTCCATTTTATTTTTTATTTATTTTTTTTAAATTTTTTAATGTTTTATTTATTTCTAGGAGAGAGAGAGAGACAGCGTGAGCAGGGGAGGGTCAGAGAGAGAGGGAGTCACAAACTGAAACAGGCTCCAGGCTCCGAGCTGGCAGTCAGCACAGGGCCCGACGTGGGGCTCGAACCCACGAACCGCGAGATCATGACCTAAGCGAAAGTCGGACACTTAACCGACTAAGCCACCCAGGCGCCCCTCTTCCATTTTATTTTATTTAAAAAATTTGTTAATGTATTTATTTAAATTCGAGTTCATTAACATACAGTGTAGTATTGCTTTCAGGATTAGAAACCAGCGATGCATCACTTACATATGACACCCAGTGCTCATACCAACAAGTGCCCTCCCTAATGCCCCTCACCCATCGAGCCCATCCCCAACCCACCTCCCCTCCACCAACCTCAGTTTGTTCCTTGTATTTAAAAGTCTCTTATGGTTTGCCTCCCTCTCTGTTTTTATCTTATTTTTCCTTCCCTTTTGTGTTTATCTGTTTTGTTTCTTAAATTCCACATACGAGTGAAATCATATGCTATTTGTTTTTCTCTGACTAGTTTTGCTTAGCATAATACACTCTAGTTCTATCCACATTGTTGCAAATGGTAAGATTTCATTATTTTTGATTGCCAAGTAGTGTTCCAGTGTGTGTGTGTGTGTGTGTGTGTGTGTGTGTGTGTGTGTATACACACATATACAAATACATATACATCTTTATCCATTCATCTGTTGATGGATTTGGGCTTGCTCCAGAATTTGGCTATTGTTGATAGTGCTGCTGTCATGCTGTACATGTGCCCCTTCGAATTAGTGGTTTTGATTCCTTTGGATAAATACCCAGTAGTGCAATTGCTGGGTCATAGAGTAGTTCTCTTTTTAATTTTTTGAGGAATCTCCATACTGTTTTCTAGACTGGTCTTGCAGTTTAACTCATAAAGTTTAGTTTCGAATCTATTCAAGCTCTGTGAATTGTTATGTATATCTTTTTTTTTAAGTTTATTTTGAGAAAAAGCATGTGCAAATGGGGGAGGGTCAGAGAGGCAAAGTGAGAGAGAGAATCCCAAACAGGCTCCACACTGTCAGTGCAGAGCCCAATGTGGGGCTTGAACCATGAGATCATGATCTGAGCTGAAGTCAAAGAGTCAGATGCCTAACCGACTGAGCCACCAAGGCACCCCGGTTTTCATGAGTATCTTAAAAAGCAAGTATTTAATGTGCATATGTATATTTTAACAATATTATACCAAAATTTACACAAAAGATTATAAATATTGATGTTTTTCTATATACCTTATTCTGTTGTTTTGTATTAATGATGTATTTATTTCTATGTTAACACGTGAAATTAGATTTGTAATGTAAATGTAGATAAAAGTAATATTAACAAACACCATTGTACTCCTCCCAGCAGAAGAAGTAAGCCTTAATTATTTTTAAAAACTTAGCACTTCCATTTCTGTAAGTGATAGAGTAAATACATTTATGATCATGTTAAAAAACATTTCTCCATGTATTGCCATCACATTTTGCTTAATACATTTCAAAGCTATTTTATTTAGATCTATAGAAGTTAATAAAATTTCTTCTTGATGGATTTTCTTTTTTAAAACTATTGAGCATCCCAAGGTCCCATTCAGTACTTCTAAATAGTCTTTTCTCAATACTGTTTGCATTTGCCTTTTTTGGTAGTATTTGCTTTACTCTCTTTTTCATTATCATCTTGATATTCTTGTTTTGTGAATAGAGCATCCTCTTCAAGTACTGGAAGCCACAGTCAGAACAATTAGGTAAGAAAGATAAATACATACAAAGCATCTAAATTAGAAAGAAATAAGTGAAACCATCTCTCTTTACAGACATCATTCTATATATAGAAAATCCAAGTGAACTCACAAACTGCTAAAGCTAATGAACAAACAGCAAAGTTACAGAGTACAAGACCAAGAAACAAAAATCAGAGAAAATAGAGAATTCTGGTTTCTTGAGGGAATCCTGGCTGATGAGTTGCCTCTGAGTAGTGAATTGGGTGACCATAGGAAATGAATAAAAAGGGTACTATATACCCTTCTTATAACTTTTAACTCAAAGTTTCTTAGATTTGGCCAATGGGAGCCCCTTCAAGCTGACCTCCTGTGTCTTTCTCACATGTCCCTATCATTCATTAAGCGTCTCTGTAATTTCTGGCAGATAGTAAAGGCTCATTTTGTACTTTCTCAGCCCCGGCCCTGGAATTCACCATTTCTCTAAGAAACTATAGTTGCTTTCAGTGGAGAATGCTACTTAGGAACCAAGACGTAGGTGATAGGTGTGCTCATTGCTCTTAGAACATCTCTGCTGACATTTGTGTGTGTGTATGTGTGTGTGTGTACACATATATGTCTACAGCTGAAGAAAAAATCAGTTCATATGGATACTACTTCAATTTCAATCCAACATCACAATGTTCATCCTAACTTTCCTTTCCACATCTGTAACTCCCTTTTCTTTCTTTTTAAATAATTTTTTAACATTTGTTTATTTATTTTTTTTACAAATAGTTTATTGTCAAATTAGTTTCCACATAACACCCAGTGCTCATCCCCACGAGTGCCCTCCTCCATGCCCATCCCCCCTCCCCCCTACATCCATCAGTTCTCAGTTTTTGTCAGCATTCAAGAGTCTCTCATGGTTTGCCTCTCTCCCTTTCCCCCACCATTTCCCCCCTTCTTCTCCCCCTTGTTCCTCAGTTAAGTTCCTCCTAACCCTCCTATACGTGCAAACATATGATATTTGTCCTTCTCTGCCTGACTTACTTCGCTCAGCATAACACCCTCAAGGTCCATCCATGTTGCTACACATGGCCAGATTTCATTTTTTCTCCTTGCCATGCAGTATTCCATGGTGTAGATAAACCACATCTTCTTGATCCATTCGTCCATTGATGGACACTTAGGCTCTTTCCATGTTTTGGCTATTGTTGAGAGTGCTGCTATGAACATTGGGGTACATGTGCTCCTATGCCTCAGCATTTCTATATCCCTTGGGTAAATTCCTAGCAGTGCTATTGTTGGGCCATAGGGGAGTTCTATTGTTAATTTTTTGAGGAACCTCCACACTGTTTTCCAGAGGGGCTGTACCAGTTTACATTCCCACCAACAGTGTATTTTTGAGAGAGAGAGCATGAGCAGGGGAAAGGCAGAGAGGGGGAGACACAAT